TTGAAACAATGAAAAATCTTTAGATGTTGCATATTCAGCTAAAGATGTTTTGCAAGTCCCTGAAGTATAACTCTTCCTGTCTGCGCTACAGTGGAAGCAATGATTCCCTCTCCAGTGACTCCAAGTAGAGTTTGTTCTTATGCATCATAGGTGCAGAGGTAGACGCTAGGAATGGAAAGTTGAAAGGTATACTGTGCTTTGGTGGTTGTGAAATCATGGTACAGTTCACAACAGAATCCAGCCCTAGCCCCTAGAGTGGGTGCAGAAATAACTAGCTACAGTCGTTATAGCAACAGCAATGTTTCTAGGACTAAGTAGACAAAATAAACCAGCCTGAGTCAGCAGTGCTCTGCAGGCTAGATCTTGTGTAAGCAATGTCAGAGTAGCAGAGTAGCTGGATTGCCAGAAGAAGTTTATTTTGTTAACAATTAAAAATCAAATCAAAAGTTTACATTTGTGAGAATATAAACCGCTAGAAGAAATTTGCTGGTTTCATCATAGGTAAAAATTATAACATGCTCTCCAGGTAGGATCTACTTCCATTGTCAGAGAAAGAACGAGCCACAATAGATCATGATCTTGCCAATCATGACATCTTTTCTTATGCTTACAAACTGTCTCTTATAGACAAAATCAACATAGAAGCAACTCCTAAAATCTCAGCACAAGTTGGTAGATACCTGTCTCATTGAGATAGTGAAACTGAAAGAGTAATACTGTGTTTATGTTATTGAGGTGAGTTAAACTGATATTGAACACTGAACGGTTTTATTACTGCAGCCATCTCAGTATTTGTTACTTCCCTTCTCTGTACTTCTTTAATTCATTCCTTCTTGCTTGCTTTGTTTGTCGTGCTCTTTTAGGAGTCTATGAAGCAAAGTTACTACAAACAGAATCGTCCTAAGTAACGGGCAAGTAGAAGAGGCATATACTTCAACATGTTACTATAATCAAACACAGAATAACCAGTTAAGCCATAAAATGGAGGAAAAAAAATCATTATTGATGCTTGGACCCCTGAGCAAAAGTTTTTACCTAGGAATGCAGAAATCACATAGTAGTATTTCATGTCATGTATTTTTCAGTTGCTGAATCCAAACATCAGAAAAAATAGCATTGAATTTAGACTGAGATCATAATTTATGATATTTTTCTTTCCAAAGAACTTTCAAGCCTCTCTTAGAATGATAACCATTAGTGGTTCTCACTGTATTCTCTCTCTAGCTCTCACAGTTCTTCTGGGGTACTTCGGAAGGAAGCATCCAAATCTCTTCCTTTTGTACTCAATAACTTTGGCTGTTTATAAAGTTGCTGATACCTTTGTTTTGTTTTTAGAAACACAAGCCAGTCATATACACCAGTGCCAGCTTCTGCAAGCTATGGTGAAAGTCCTGCTGCTTCTGCTGCTTCAAAACCAAGAGTTGTCACTACTGCTAGCATAAAGCCCTCTGTCTACCAGCCAGGTAAGGAGATTTCCAAGTACCGGAATGCACAGGCATTACTTTTAGAAAAATAATATGTTCATTTTGCTATAGGACATGTGTGTTATCAGGAAATTTATATGCACAGAACCAACTGAACTGACAATGTTGTTTCAGCTTAGGATCAAGGATAATGTTGTATTAGTGAAAATGTGGACCAAATGTAGGAGAAAGAAGATAAGCAAGGGCGCAGTCTGTAAAAATGGTGTATAGTCTCATTTCTCAAAATCAGTGCATTTGCAAAAAGCCCAGTACACCTATTTAGGATCCTCAGGGCACTTCCTAGTTGATAGAATAGCTTAAGAAAGCACAACTTAGGATGGAAACAAAATAAGTGAAGTAGGATATTTGCAAAATAGAGAAAACCACGTAATGAATTTCTAAAATTCAGGCTTGTATTTGGATTAAAGAATGACTTAAAGTACTTAGTAATACTGTGCTTCCATTTCCCACATATCCAATTACTGAAGAAATATATTTGATTATTCATTTTGGTGGAAAATATACTCCTTGATGCCATTTAAATCCTGTTTGTATTAATGTGTTACAAATGGAGTCAACTTCTAAAACTAGTGATGACCAAAATGTGAACCTTCAAAATGAACAAATTAAATGAGTTAGCAATCTAATTTTAAATGCAATTCTGTTTCAAATTAAGTTTTCTGTTCTTAACAAGGTAACTAAAATGTTGATTTTTATTCTGACAGCCAAGTATATATGAAAAGCTCAACAATTCTAACAGTCTTAAGCTCATTCTTTTCTGCAGTGGGTTATTTCTGGATCTACTGCAATGAAACTGATTGAGAAATTCTACTTAAATCAGTCTGTCTGCTTTATATCTATCTTTGTATTTGAGATATGAAGGTGGAAAAAAAAGTCAGTTCGGAGCTTTAACAAACTGTACAGGGATCTCAGAGTCAATCAAGGTTTCACTTTCTCCTCATTTGATTTTGGTTAGGTGAGTCAGCATATACTGTGCTCTCAGTCAAATGGTATTTCCGTCTTGCAAAAGAAGGAAAGATGAGAACAGAGGATTTATTTCCATAATGCTGATTAGAGCAAGCTGTGGAAAGTGAAAGTATCTTCAAAATAAACTGATTAGTACAAAATGCCATGCTCGTTTGAGGGCAGTGAAAACTCTAGTTTACACAGATCTGCAGCAGGCATAAACCAATACACATATCTGTTAGGGAAAAAGCTGGCTGTTTAATTCAGCTCAGAATAAGAGGCCCAACTTTTACTTTCTGTGATAGGCATCTTCTTTGCAATTCCTTATCAAAACCTGCTGGTTTTGAGCCCCATTACTTTAAAAAGTGCAGTATGAAAAATATGTTCTGTGTCACTGTGTAGACAGCAAAATTATTTCCAATTGAAGCTTTGCCTGCCTGCATGTGGGAAATTCTTCTTTTGTAGGTAATGAAAGGATATAATGTATTCCAGAGGACATGAGAAAATTTGCAATTATACAAATGTAATACAACAGATGCAAATTGCATTAAAGTTCACAGAGAGAAAAACAGTAAGTCTCTCTGTTCTACTCTGTTTAGACTGGAACAGAATAATACCATTGGAAGGTACCTACAAAGACCATCAGATCCAACCGCCTGACCATTTCAGAGATGAGCAAAAGTTAAAGATAATTACTGGTGCTCAAAGCCTCTTGAAATGTGACAAGCGTAGGGCATCAACCCTATCAGTAGGAAGCCTGTTCCACTGTTCTACTACTCTCACAAGAAAGGAATTTTTCCTGATCTCCACTCTGACCCTCCTGTAGCACAGCACTGTGCTGTTCCTGCCTGTCCTGCCATCAGTTACCACGGAAGTGACCAGCACATCTTCCTGTGCTTCCCCTCCTCAGGAAGATGCAGAGAGATATTTGAGAATAAATAGAAGTTTTAAAATAAAGAATTATAAAATACCTCTCTAATTAAACCCCAGAGTGACTCAGGTGCATGAGGTTTAACAGAAAGTCATTTTATTGTAGGTTGTTGGTTTTTGTTCGGTGCCTCTTTCAAGTATTCTTCATTTAGTGTTGTAGCACTTCAATTGGAACGTGACCCTGGCCTTAAAGACAGATGCAGTTGTAAGCAAACAGAAACTTGCTGCTTGGAAGAAATGGAGGAAGGAACAGTTCCTGTCACCGATAGATCCTATCACCAAGAAAGTAGTTAGAAAAGCTTCTCATCCAACTTTGCCAGTGCATATAAATTCTGCTCTGCAGTGTAAAATGCAACCTTAATCTGAAAAGATCAACTGTTCTCGAAGGATAAAAGATGAGACCACAATATTCATCTTTTTCCTCCAAGTACAACCTCAGGCCTTAGCAGTAGCTGTACTCTCACTCTAACCAATAAGCTTTAGATTTCCATTTCTGTAAATCTACTGCATGAAAAGGCTGAAATAATGAATATTGTGAAGGATTTGTAGTGGGGAATTTAGCAAAGGAATTCCTTTATGCTATCAGTCAGTGTTAACTGAATAGGAATAGGATGCCTTACTTCCTCTAAAATTCCACACTAGCAATTTTCAGATTAAAACATACAGCCCCATATGTGCAACATCCGGAAACAAAAATCAGCCACTTAAGAAAGTCTATGAAACTATTTTAATCTGGATCATATTGAAAAGTAATGGGGTTAAATCTTGTTTACACTGAAGTTAATCTCACAGTGAAACTGCATTGTTGAGTATGTATCTCAGATGTGAGTAAATCAGTAAGCCTATGCTTTAAAGGAAGGAAAAGAACTGCTAGGACTTTTCTGCTGCTAAAAATTTTTGTTTCTGTTGTTCCTACACGGAGATTTTTACCCACTTCTGTTTCACACACTACATCAGGTGCTTTTAAGAGGCACATAGACTTATTTTCTAAACACGGTCCACTAGATGGCAGAAAATACTTGCATCTCTCTTTCCTGTACTTCCAGACTACAATAGTGCTTTCATTATTTCAAGCAACCCAAATGCCAGCTTTATACTACAAAGTAACACAATACTTAAAAACAAGAAAGGAGATCTTCCCTTTTAAATCTGTAAGTCCAAAAAGGGACTACTCAGATATGCAAAATGGCTCAAATGTAAAGGCTTGATCCATTCTTTTAGAAATCAGTAGAAAGATTCCCACAGATCTCAACAAACTTTTCACTAATGCCTTAACACATTCAAGACTAGAATAGCAGGTTATGTATATTCTTATTTCTTTTTAAATACTTCTGAATAAGGGTAGTGTCTTCTTATAGAGGACTGTTGCATTATCTGCTTTGTCTGTCTTTTATTATGCATTTGAACAGTATACGCAAATATTTGGGGCTTCAAGGACATGGCCGCTATGTGTAGAACCAGCCAAATCATTTGTGATTATGAACTGCATTTGTTACTGGAAAACTAATAATAAAATTTGCATTCCACTAACAAAACAAAACACAAAAAAAGAGAAATTGTTTTCACAGGTTAGTTTGTAAGGCTTAAGCTTTTGAGACTATATGAATCTATATATTACTACATGAATCTTTGAAAACATACCTTTTTTTTCTGGAGGAAGAATATCCACTGGCAGTAAACGAAGAGCTGATGAGAATCCCAAATTCCTCAGAAGCACGGAATTGGCTTGTTCTTACAGTTGTTAAGAAATCTCTTCTACTCCTACCATTCTCTTCACATAACAGTAGTCCCATTGTTTCTCTCCTACTAGAAGAGAATCTGAAGGCTGAGAAACAAGGTGATAGAGGTTGAGTTACTGAATTATTTCAAGTATTCACTGCTGAACAGGTAAAGGTTAGCTGATACAACGTGCTGCAAACAGCACCTTTTATTTGCTGTATAAATTTTGAAAGATTTTGAAATATATAAACATGCAAGGTAAATTCATATGGCTGTACTTGCTAAGAAAAAAGAGCTGTTCATGTAAGTTCAGGGAATATAACTGTAAGATAGTAAGAAAGTAATTTCTTTTTAATAACAATTACTAAAATCTCATTGTTTATGAAACAGGTGTAACGCATTGCAATGATGGCATTTTAAACCTACAGTAATTCCAACCTGTTCACACAGTAATAAATCCAGCTTTTAAAATTAAATGATAATGGCTGAAATGTTAGTTAACTATGGAGAAATCAGAGCAGTTGTGAACACCTGGTATTTGTCATTTTGCAGTAATTCCCTTGGCATCTTCTTTCAGCAACCGAAAATGAAGGATTTAGTTGCCAGAAAGGGAGAAAAAGGAGAAATAGAAGAAGGTATAGAGAATAAAAAAGGCCCATCCCAAGTGTTAATCCTTCAAAGGAGTCTAGACTATTCTGAACCCAGATAAATAATATGCTGTCTATGTTGATCAGAATAAACAGGAAAAATAAAACAATGACATTATGAGATTAAGGGGAAAAAAAGCAGAAAACAAAGAGCTCCTAATTTACTAAAGACAATCATTAAGAAAAATATATCCTAAAAACATTAACTGTATTCATTGTTTTCTTTTGGATCCCTGGGTTTGAATATCTGACCATTTTGTCAGGTCCTTTGTGGTATGCGTTGCCTGACTTTGTATGAACAAGAACTGGCCGTGGGGGAGGGAGAATCCTTCCACAAAATTGAGTGAGCTAAAAGTCACCTTATTTAATTACAGAGTCTCATAGGTGGGAGCCTTTTGAACTCACCAATTAGAGATGAAATATTGCCTTCTAATTTTGCCTACCCTAATACCATAATACATAAATAGCAACAGCCCCGGGGTTTAAAGGGATTGGATACAAACTCTGTTCAGAAATCTTTAAACGATGTTTACCATTCCCAGCAGAAAAAAAGAAGCCTCAAGCTAAGGTGGGAGATTCAGTTTTATGAAGGAGAAAACTTGATGCTGAAGAACAAAAACGTTTGATCAAGAAGATGTGTTAGAAACTCTGAACCCAATAAAAAATAGAATCAGAGATGATTAAGCTGGCTGACCAGAGTAGGTTGATACATATGCGATTTACGCACCCACATTGAGGATAATAATCCATGTATGTTATTCTGTGTGGCAGTGTGAGCTAAGGGAGGAGTGGAGTGTTAAGTAAAATATAATCTTATCACCACTTTATTATCCTGAGATATTTGTCTTGTATTCTAAACCTCTCCTTTGCTTGAAATACCTTTCTACCTGAAAGCCCTATAAAGCCACAAATGGTATATTTGCTCATCATTTTTTTGGCACCGTGATCTACTATGCAGAGTGTTTGCTTTGAGTACAGAAGACTTGGCTTCTGTTCCAAATCTGTGCTCTCTGGTTTGGGCAGAACACTTCAACTCTCCAAGCTTTTACTCCTTTTCACACATGCTGACAATCCCTCGCTTGTTTTCTTTGCAAAAGAAAAGCTGCTTTTAGTACTCCCGTTCTTGGCAAAGTGAGGTAGTTTCTTAGGCAATAGCTGCAGTCCTGCACAGTGCCAGATCTGGCATTTTGAAAAGAGCAAGGCAGTGGGAAAACATCTCAGTATGAACAGGCTCTAGCTTCTGCTTATTTTTATGCGATAAAGCTCCACCCAAGATGAAAGCCTGATACATACAAACAGGCACAGTCTCTGCGCAGATGATTTTATGTGGTACTGCAAAGGTGGGAGAAAGGAAGTATAGCACTTCTATTTTATAGATGGGAACTGAGGCACAGAGATACTACAACTCGCTCAAAGTTTATACAGGAAGTCTGTGGCAGAGCCAAGAGCAGAACTTAAGATCAGTCACAACCGCAAGTCTGGCCTTCCTCTGAGTGCTGCTGGCTTTGTTTTGCTGGTCATGTGAGCTGAACTGGCTCCTTCAGTGTTGCTTACAGTGCTCTCTAGCTCTATGTTCTCTGTGTGAGTCTATTTTTTGTCAGAAACCTACGAATCTAACGTTCTACAAGTGGTAAACAGTACTGACTGTGCACATTCATTACATTGTAATGAATGTAATGAAAATTCAAGCATAACTCCGTATTGAAACTGTGGGGAATTCTGTCTAAAACTTCATTACACAATCTGGCCTTTCTATTTATAACCTGCCTTAAAACAGATTACGTGGCAGTGTTTCAAATTATCACAGAACTGTCATATCCATTTCTACTGGAAAAATGAAGAGATATCTTTGAGAATGGTCTCCGCAAAGTCTTTACAAGCCAGCAGGCAATGTTTTCTGTAATGCATGTAGATTAAAAGCCAACGATTGTGCTGAAATCGTTGGCTTTAGTCCAGAATTAATGAATGATAATAAGAGAGGCCATAATAAATTGTCCTCTGAAGCTTTGGTTATTGTTTTGCTATGGGAAGAAAAGACCTAAAAATCCTTCTTGGTTTCTTTTGGCATACTTTAAACAGCACCTGCACCAGTTCATTCCTACACCCCTGCCAACACGGAGCCAGCAAGCCGTCCTCCCTGGGTAACAGATGAGTCATTTTCCCAGAAGTTTGCACCTGGAAAAACCACCACCACTGTCACGAAGAACATCCTTCCGAGGGGTGCTCCAGTACCACCTCCTGCCTCTAAATCTGCATACCCGTCTCCAGTTTCAGCTTCTCCCCTGGCTCCTGCAATAGCCCGAGGAACAATTCAGAGGGCTGAGCGTTTTCCAGCCAGCAACCGAACTCCTCTCTGTGGGCACTGTAACAGCATAATTCGGTAAGGTCATGAGGTTTTGAAGAGGGATGAGGCAGAAAAGACAATATAACAGAGAGGCTGTTTTTTATACATTAATATACAGTACCAGAGCCTAAGCCTCAGTTAAATTACTCAGCAGGGTTGTCTGTTATCTGCTTCATTAATTTAACATTTCCAGAGCTCATTTTGCTATGGTGCAGTTCACTTTTTATCACTGTGAAGTTATACATGCTAGTTGTTTGTTTCATGGAGGCTGTGGCAAATTACTGTTTTTTTAAACAAGTTTTTAAACAAGGTCCCTAAAGTACCCCTTGAAGGAGGTATATACACCACTGCATTGCGATGTTGGGGGCCAGTAGGAGGATGGTAGACTAGGAACAAGGCATCACTTGGAACAGCAGCCAGATGTAATTGTTGCTTTTGTGTCTGGAGAGATAATGCCCACACTCTATTATCAGTGATTCATAGCATGCCTCTCCCTTCTTTCCCAGTTCATTCTGCTGGATTGGCGCCCAGTGTAACTCTCTGGACTGCTAACCAACTTGAAGTAATCCACTTTAATGACAGTCTCATCCACTAAAAGGAGCTAGTTTGGTGAAGTGGAACTACTGCTCGTCACCCTTTATATTTTCTGAAACAGAAAGACTCCAGTAATAAAAGAATTGAATTCCGATCGCTACATGTAATTACAATCAAGAGTAAATCACCAAAACAAATTTGTGTCTTCCATATAACCAACAGCAGCTTGTCATCCGATATACCAACGTTTCTAGAACGTGCAGCACGTAGCAGTCTCTCAAAAGAAAATAAGGCAGGATATTGGGTGTATGTGGGTAGGTTTGGAAACTGGCCTGCTTTCTCGTGATTTTAAATAGTGGATTTATCTTCTGATTTACAAACCTTCGTCTTTTCTTTTTTGGTCTTTCCAGCTGGTCACAAAGATCACTTACAGCTATGCAGATATGAAAACCATAGATGATTTTTCTGACAGCTGTTTGTAAATACAATGTATGTGTCTAAACAATTAAATACTTTAAGCAGTTGGCAAACTGTTTTAGTAATAATCTTAAAAAAGACACTTTCTGGTCAGGTTTGTGGATATTATTTTAATATGCACCTTCATAATTTGAATAGAATGCTTGTTATACATGGATGCAGCATCTAGCAAAATGGGTTTGTAATCAGGGTCTCTCAGTATCTTTGCAGTATAAAATATCTTTGTTCACAGGGGTCCCTTCCTAGTAGCCATGGGTCGCTCTTGGCACCCAGAAGAATTCAACTGTGCTTACTGCAAGACATCCTTGGCTGATATGTGCTTTGTGGAAGAGCAGAATAGCGTATACTGCGAGCGCTGTTATGAGCAGTTCTTTGCACCGACCTGCTCCAGATGCCACACTAAGATCATGGGGGTAAGAAAGAGAACCGTTATTTCAACTATATGTGGCCCACTGAAATTAGAAATAATTTAAACTGCAAGCAGTGCTTGTATTGATTTTATTATTTTCTCCCTTTTTGATAATACTTCCTTAGCCTACAAATAATTTTGGAATGAGAAACACATTATTTTATAATAATCACTAGGTAACCAAAATCTTGGCTATTCCTGTACTTTATCCAACTAGATAGAATAAGTAATCCAATTATCATCTCTCAGGTGTAAAACACAGTACACTTTCTGGATAGTTCACTGCTATCCAACACACAGGATGTTTATCTTATCTACCTTTTCCTTGTCTTTGTGCAATGGAGACTTGAACTGGAATGTTTTAATGCTTGACTTAATCTAAAGTTCCATGGAGAAGACTGATCTTAGATGGGCTAAATGCTCATACTGCACTTCACTGTCAGCTAAGCAGCACAGCTGCTGAGAGGAATGCTGATGATTTCTTATTGTTAAAAACAAACAAACAAAACAGGGTAAATAAAATGATCTGAATTGAAGAGAGACAAAAATAGCTGCTAACTTTTTAAAATAGATGCTTAGATACAAGCAAATATGTTCTACGCATACCATATGGTAATGAGGCTTGAATACAGTAAGATACTTCTAGCAGTTTATTGATGCATGCAATTACATACTGTATGTATATATGCTATATA